CTTGTGTCCATGGTTTGCCTAAGCTGTTGCATTTTTCCTTTCTAGCTGTATCATTGACAAGTGTTACACGAATACATGTAACCTGACCCTTGATGGCATTTGCCAGTATTCCAACCAGTCTTATTTTACTTAATGACAGCTATCCTAGAACCCAAGAAATAACTTTCAGAGGAACTGTGTTGCTTTATCACCCAAACTTTATCTATTTAAAACAATTCTATATCTGTTTCCTTGCTTTAAAAAAAGGGAAGCAACTCAAGCAATCAGCATAGTTTTTAAGCATCACAAACCTGGATGTAGCTTACAATGTCCAATAGAGTGCATTCTGTATTACATTTTTTCTTGATTTCTTAAAGAAAAGTTCCTGCTTCCAACATTGGTAATCTTGTTTTCCAAGATCAGCCATTTCCTAGTACGTGGACTTCAGCTCTCAGAATTTCAAAACCAGCATAGCTATTGCTGAGAATTTAGGGAGATGAAATCCACTCGCCTTGAATTTGCCAAGGTTGGGAAATTCTAGATCAAGTTAAGAGGTTTTAATAGAATAACAGAACAGTTCAATCTCTTAAAAACTTCCAGTGTTGAAACATCCATGTGCTGTCCAGACAGTTTAGAGTTAATGGGATTTTGGAGAGCTGTCCCTTTAAGGGAATGCATCATGGTAAATAAGGTATCCTGGGAAATGTAGTCCATGTCATGTGGTCACATCTGTAATCCTGATTGGTCACTAAATTGACCCTTGTTGCATTGGGGGAGGCTCTCTCACTCTTGCTGAATCCACCATACCATGCAGCTGGTATCATCATGGGGATGAGACTTTATTATCTTTCTACAGCATAATGCAGATATGCAAAGGATTGGACATTAAAAAGAACCTCGTCATAAATGTGAGTTGATAAGGATTCCTGATGAACCAATAAAAAAGACTTTGTATGGATGCTTTGTGGAGTTGCTCTGTCTGCTTTATACCCATCCAGAGAATAATAAGCAGAACAATCCACAACTTCTGGGGGCAAGTCGTTCCAATAATTAATTGATCTAACTGTTAGGAAATTTCTTCCTAGTTCTAGATTAGATCTCTCCTTATTTAGTTTCCACCCATTGCTTCTTGTCCTGCCTTCAGGTGCTTTAGAAAATAACTTGACTCCCTTTTTTGTGGCACCCCTCAAATATTGGAATACAGCTATCGTGTTACCATTAGTCCTTCTCTTCATTAAACTTTCTCTTCATTAAACTCTTCATTAAACTTCATTAGACGTATCCAATTCCAACAGCCGTTCTTTACATGTCCTAGCCTCCAGCCCCCTAATCATCTTTTTGCTCTTCTATGCACTCTTCACAGAGTCTCAACATCTTTTTTACATCAGGGTGAGCAAAATGGATGCAATATTCCAAATGTGGTCTTACCAAGGCATTATAAAGTGTTATTAACATCTCACACGTTCTGGATTCTATCCCCCTGTTAACGCAGTCTAGGACTGCATTAAGCTTTTTGGGGCAGCCGCAGCAAACCGTTTAAGTGATATTTAAGTGATTGTCCACTAGGTTTCCAAGATCCCTCTCATAATTACTACTATTGAGCCAGATGCCACCTATTCTATACCTTCACATTTAGCTTTTTTTTTCTTGCCTAAATGTAAAATCTTACTTTTCTCACCTTTGAATTTCATTTTGTTAGATTAGATTCTCTTGTATTTTGAGCCTATTTTCTGGCTATTCCTGCCGGCTTGGTGTCATCTGCAAATTTAATGAGTTTCCCTTCTATCCCCACATCTAAATCATTCATGAAGATATTGAAGAGTACTGGACCTAAAACAGAGCCTCACTGCAGATTTCCCATCAGATACGTTTAGTTCCATTAAGTGTTGATTGAGTGTTGATTGGTCAGCCAGTTACAAATCCATCTGGTCTGGTGGTGATGCAGTCTAACTCAATCTTATCAAATAGTAGGTTGTGGTCTACTTTATCAATGCCTTGCTAAAACTCAAGTAAATTATATGTACAGTGTTTCACTGGTCCATTAATTTTGTCACTTTGTCAAAGAATGCAATAAGATTAGTCTGGCATGATCTGTTTTTGACAAACTAGTGTTGGGTTTTGTTTATTACTTTGTTTGCCTCTAGGTATTGATAGATTTATTGCTTGATTATATTTTCCAGAATTTTCCCAGGCATTGATGTCAGGCTGATAGGTCTGTAGTTTCCTGGTTCCATCTTTTTCCCTTTTTTGAAGATGGGAACCACATCAGCCCTTTTCTAGTCCTCTGCTCATTTCCTGGTGCTCCAGGATGTTTGAAAGATATGGTTCAGTGGTTCTGAGATTTTGAATCCATATTATAGAAAGCTAAACTGATTGTTGTAAACAACACTGAATTCAGTGGATCTATTTGTGGTGTCACTTCTCACCCATCATCAAATAGCAGCTTTATTTGTTCTCTTTTACCAAGTCCACATTCTGATTGCTCATATTTACTTTCTGACTTGTTCTCTCCCTTTCTGTCTTTTAGAAGGGTCAACCAGATATGTCCCCAAAAAGTCAAGATGGCAATCTGTGTTGCATGATTGAACTTGCGATGTACACAAAAAGTGTGGGCCCTTGTTCACATAGTCTTGATCTCCATCTTCACTTTTACTGAGATATAAATAAAAAAGCAGAGCAACGTTCCATATTTCATGTAATGTGCTTTGTTCCTTGCTAATGTGTAGTTTGAGAACAAGAGATGACAGAAACCCAAAAGTTATGAATGCTAATACTTTTATTACGAATTTATAGTAATAGAACCTTGTCTGTCTGGATATGCTTCCCCCCTCCCTGTTTTAGTCTGTGAAAATTAGGGAGAGTTAGTTTTCTCAAATTACATTTCTGCCTGAGACTCAAATTTCTCTTATCTGTCTGTTGTCTCCTTTGTGGCTCTTTCTCCTAGTCCTCAAGGTTATTCCTATTTCCTGTTAGAGGAAGGGATTGTCTTTCTTTAATAACCTAATCATTCCATGGGGATCTTTGGGGTTGTGATGATTGGGTAGTGGAATGGCCAATAAAAGTAGACATTATAGAAGAAAGAGGGAATTGTGAAATGGGAACTTTAGTGGTGTAAGTGGAAGGATGGATTTGAAAAAGACTCAGAATCTTGTCTAATATTTTAATTAGGTATATATACTTATGACTGAGCACACCAGTAGTTCTCGAATTACAACCAGAATGAAGCCTGACCTTAAATGTTCTAAGTTGTGATGATTGTAAAGTGGGGGGTGAACTTTGTGTCATAGGTAGTTTAAAGTAGGTCTGCCATAATTTTGAACAGTCACTAAATGACTGTTGATAAGTTGAGGGTCATCTGTACTTAAGTAGATAAAATCTACTTAACCTCCACATCAACCCTGTGAGATAGGCTAACATCTCACCAAGAAAGAGCGCCTGGTCTAAAATCATCCAAGAAACTTCTGTGACTTAAGAGGGTACTAGTTCCTGCATTTCCCTGCTCTTGGCCCTAAATCTTGACCACTACAATACACTGACCTCTCCCTTCTATCCTAGAAAATACTCCCATCTTTCTAGTAGGCAGAGTTAGAAATAAATTTAGTGCAAAACTAAGCCAAGACTGAGTGGAATCAAGTGACTCTTGATTAAACCATTTCAAGTTACTTAAGAAAAGTCAGCTGTCTTTGTTTAAGTGTTAATCAAGGGCTGTGCTTTCCTATACCTTCTCCATGTTCCCTGGACAAAGAGAAAAAAGGAGGTGAGGAAGAAAGGGGTGTCTAACCAGAATAGGGCTTAGGGAACAATAAGGCAAATAGATCCTGTTGGGTTCTCCTAGACCTCTCCGAATTTGAAAAGAGCAGAAGGAAAAGGCAGCCGCAATTAGAAGGGCATTTGCCCTGTGATGGAGAATTGGTGGAAACCAGGGCAACAAAGACCTGAAAGGTTATGGCGCCCAGTTTAACTCTCTGTGTTAAATGGAAGGACCTTGGATCTGCAAATCTCCATTGTCCTTGTCCTCCCACATGCCCTATTTTAATGCTTAGCGCTAGCAGAAGCATTACCAGTGGAAGATTTATATCAGAGGAACATGGTACAAGCAAAACAGGGCCTCTGGAGTATTATTTCCCACCCACTCCTATCCCTGCCAGGGTCGAAATCTCTCTGCTGGCTGGCAGATGGATGCCTCAATTAAATCTTCGCCCCACTTGGACAGCTGTCGAAGGAGATTAAATACGGCTCTCATCGTGAACTTGTTTCCACTTGCTTCTTTTGATTTGTCTGTTTAATTTTTGCTTTTAAAATATTAAGTAGTGCTGAGTAACCTTACTTCAGCTCCATTTAGAAGGGGATTATTACAAGCCTGCCATTTGAGCCTTGGGGAGGTGGGGGGGAAATTGCCTCCCACCTTGTTAGTTTAATGCATGCATCCTGAAGGTGCTGTGCACCGGCACCTTTGCATAATATCTCTAGCTTTTGCCCTGGAGGGAAGCTACAATGGCCCAATTGAGTTGCGTTCAATATAATTTATTTAAAAGAATCTTCTCTGCCAGCCAGACTTTTATCAGGCAGCAGATGTGGGAAGAAGGTTGAATACATATATGCATAATAGCAGAAAAATCTCTGTTTTACATTCTGAGCTGAACTTTGGGGGAAGATAATCCTCAATTTGGTAATGCAGCTGAGTATTCACCTGGAGGAAGTACTTGTGCTTTTAAAGCAGGAATGTCCAACCTTGGCAATTTGAACACTTGTGTACTCCAATTCCCAGAATTCCCCAGCCTGCCATAAGACTTACAGTTGCCAAGGGGGGACCCTCTTGCTTTAAACACTGCCAATATAATTTATAACTCTCATTGACACATTGCATCATCACCACTAATCTGTTGCTGTAGGGGCTTGTGGCACTGTTGCTGCGGGGTTTTGTGGGATGAGTTTTCAGCGAGTTTGATTGTAGAACGTGCATTTCACTCTATGTTTCCATGTGCCATCCTCATGATGCGTTCCTTGTGGCCTCTCTGCAGTGCTCCAAATGCGAATGCAGCATCGGAGGTCCCAAGAACAGCTCTCCGAACAACACTTAATTCCAGGTGAGTCTCGTAAAAAGCCAAGAGAATCAGATGGCAAACAAGATATGGAAGGAGAGGAGTAAATGCCTGGGAAGAAAGTTGGCATCAACATCGGAATATTAACGAAGAATACTTTTCTGCCGTGAAGGGAAAGATATACCCTTTGAATTTCTGTACGCTGTATGGACTCCTTGATTTACGACTGGTCCCTTAGTGGCTATTCAAAGTTATGACTGCCCTACCTGGGTGCTACTTATCACCATTATTCAAAGTTACAACAGCCAGGCCCAACGTCCTGGATCAAGGGACTGAAGTTCAGGCACTTGGGCACCGGGCTGCATTTACAATCATTTGCAACCTTCAACAATTGTGTGATCATGTTTTACGATGGTTTTGCTGAAAACTGCAGTTGCTTCCAGTTTTGGGCAAAACTGCCCCCGTAGTGAACCATTGGTTTGCTTAATGATCATGGCATTTGCTTAGCAACTGCCATAAAAAAAGGTTATAAAACCGAGTTGATCACATGATCAATCGGTTTTACAACCATCACAAATTACATTGGGCAATCAGTAATACCACTACTTGAATTCCTTGATTTCCGGGGGACACCCAAGAGACGACTTCAGTTAACGCAATCAGGAGAATATTCAGTCAATGCAAGCTTTGAAAAGTTACAATTCGAGCTTTGATTTCTACAACGGAAGCACCAAAGTGTATCTATCCTACCAATAGCCATAACAACAGCTTGATCCAAAATGGCTAACAGCATGAATGCTAAATGGGTGGAAGGGTCTCTTTTTTGCCATGCATAATAAAGAAGATTTTTTTTTTTTACAAATGACATTTTAAAAGAGAATCGCCAAAACAATCATTTCTGTGAAAGATAGCAGATTTTGTAATCAAGTGGAATAAAATACCAAGCCTAAATAACCAAGCCAGTTCAAATAATTTCGTAGTTGAGAATACAAAAGTGAATTGACGGAAAACATGTCAAAAGACTCAGCTAAGGATTGTGTCCATGTGTCTCCATTTTCTAGAAGGATTCGGCTACCTTATATATGCTCCTAAACTAGGGGGAAGTATAGTGATGGACGGCAGAATGCTTCCTCTAGGGCTCATCAGATTTTTTTTTCCTTTTTACCCCTCCAGGGCTCAGCAAATCCCTCCCAACTTTCTCACAGCCTAGTGGGATGCAAGGGCAGGCCAGGGTGAGTATAAATGGGATTTGAGAATTTTAGCAGCATGAACAATCACAGGGGTTCTCCTAGCATGCTATTTGGACAGTCCACTTTTAAAAGTTGGGCTACTGGCCAATGAGAATGGCAGCTAAGTAGAGATCCATGTTGTGCATCATCCATCATCCGTAGCTGCTGGCTTGCCTCAAGATTTACGTAAGTTTCTCAAGCTCTGTCCTCTTTTCCACCACCCCATCGCAGTGAACCAGATAGGACAGGCAGACAGAAACTGATATATGCTGATTGGCCCATCTTGCTAAATATGCTTATTTCTGCCTTTTCCAATAGACTTCTTTCCAAATGCAGTGAAAAAGCACCCACAATTCTCACTTAACATGAAACAAGCTTGAAGCCTTGCAAGGCATGATGATTGTCCTGTAATATCACTAAATTGCTATTGTGATCAACAATAGATTTCCAAAGTATAGGACAGAGGGAAGTGGTATATGATATTTACGGGTTGGAAACATACATACTCTCCTAAATCCAAACCTATCTCATTCAGTTTCCGGCTGTGTTTCTACTACCTATGATATTAGAACTGAACACCAAGGGTAATCTAAATCTCCTTCTTTTAAACACATGCAGTGGTGTTATCCAAAGTTAAAATCCCACACAGAATCCCATCAGTTCCATTTCTAAAACGGATAGCTGTAGGAATAAATTAAGAGACCCCCTTAAGTTGTCTGGTGAACCAATATGCCTGGCATGCCTGTTTTATTCATAACGTGGCTTACTGAAATGGGCCACACATGTCTAAACTATGGTTAATGCTCTGTTGAGGAGATCTTATGTTTGACTTTTTCATTCTCTTCTCTTGATTGTCCTAGTACGGTGTTTCTAAGCCTTGGCTATATCCAAATGCTTAGACATCTATTCCCACAATTCTTCAGTTAGTATAACTATTAACTATTCTGGGAATTGATATCTATAGATTTGGAAGTTTACAAGGTTGGGAGTGTATTTTAGAGTGTCAGCCACGGGCACAATGAACTCTTCAGGCTAAACAGTTGTTTCAGCTCAAAACTCCATGATTGATTGAGATACTTCAGCGGAAAGAGTTTTACAGAGAGATTGAAGAAGCTGTTCTAGTGATGACTAGACAACCCTGTGAGCTGCTGGGTCATTGTTTCAGAGATATTTCCTTACCCGATTCCTTAACACCTTCAAAGGCAAAGCTTCTAATGTTCTGGAAATGTTCTTTAAAAATCAGGGAAATATTCAGACATGTATCTGCCTTGAAAGCAGGCAATGTTTCAAATAGGCAGCAATATAAACTCAAATAAATGTAGCACAGTCAAACACCTGGAGTTGACCACAGGGTTTTATAATATTTATATTATTTCATGAAATGTTTTATAAAATTTGGCAAATTTTAATTCTATGGGAATCATAGATTCTGGATTTTGGATGAATTCTGTAAGTTAGACCATTTAAGTATCTTGGTTCAAAAATTGTTGCCCTAGAATGCACTGTTTTACTCAATTAAAGTTTACAGAAAAGAGAGTTTTAGTAACATATAAATTGTCTGGGCATATTGGCTGTGTTATGATGTTTTTCCTTTGCTTCTCTCAGGCCAATGAGACTGCCAAGCTCAAGGTTTCACCCCGGCCTCACAAGACCAGCTCTGCTAAGGGACAGCTGACTGAAGGTAAGAAAAACACCGCTTCTGTCCAGGTTGAAACATCTCTGCCAATCCCACATCATAATGTGAAAATCAAGAGGTTGGTTTTGTATAACACACTAGGCAAAGCTCAACATGGGTTGAGTAGTTTGTGGAATGGTGTGTTGTGGGAACACAACTGTTATTTTAACATGTTGTATGACTTAGGCCAGTATATTAAGCCATGATCCTGGGGGTATTTTTGGCGTAATATCAGGGGTGGGATTCAAATTTCTTAACAACCAGTTCTGAGGGCGTGACCTAACTTGTGGGTGTGGTTTCATGGTCATGTGCCTGGATGGGTGTGGCTTGCTGAATGGATGTGGCTTGGTGGTCACATGACTGGATGAGTGTGGTTTGTATGTAAATATTGTAAAAATTCATGTAAATATTGAATTTGTTATTAAAAAAAGAGCAACTTTTACCCAAAATCAGGCAAAGCAGGCAGGCAGATGGAGTTGCTCCCAGATTCACAGATTCACTCAGAGATCTACCTTTCTGCAATCTGCTGCCAGAATCTGTCACATAAAATTTGCTTGCAACCAAACTCACAGAATTAACTCACAACACACTATGTATGTAAATATTGAATTTTTTATTTTAAAAAAGCAACTTTTACCCAAAATCAGGCAAAGCAGGCAGGCAGATGGAATTGCTCACAGAATCACAGATTCACTCGGAGATCTATCTTTCTGCAATCTGCTACCTGAGTCTGAACTGAAAAAAAGAAGCTAGGAAGGTTCAGCTCTGCTTTTAGATTAGCTAGAAAGCAAGAAATCCAACAATTTCCTGCTTTCTAGCTAATCTAAATCTCCCAGCATAGCTGATAGTCAGAACAGCTGATGGTCAGGAAAAAAAGAAAAGAAAAATAGCAACTTACCAAAAATTAGGTGAAGGCACAATGCAGGCAAGTTGGATGGAGCACATGCCAGGTAAGGAGTGACTGGGAGGGGAGGGGAGGAGAGGGGCCAGCCAATGGTGGTGCAATTTGCCAGTTTTCTGAACTGCGCAGAATCGTAACAGCCAGTTCTATAGAACCGGTGTGACCAGGTAGAATCCCACCCCTGCATAATATATTATGTGAGCAAGTTCCCAATGTTTTATCAATACAGAGTAAGGACATATTGTGTAAACTCAGGAAAATTACCTTAAAACCCTGATACAAAATTCAGATTTTTGGGGGGAGCCCATTTTTCACATACTTATCTTCAGAATCCTGCCAGATCCTCCTTTTCCTTCTTTTTTTTTAAAAAAAATCTTATTTCCAGGAGGGACTCATGTTTTTGACCTTTCAAATTTCCCTATAGTTCTAAACAAAACATTTATCTTTCATTACCAAGTATGGGATAAAAATTATGGCACTCTTATATCAAATTTTGAAATGTTGGCAACATTTATAAAACTCAGAAGGTGGGCAACCTACTTTCATGAAAGTGCTCTCCTATTTTATTTCTTTTTGCAACCCTTTGGAGGTCAGGGTCATGTTGCCCCAGTCTCCTTTGTTTCCAAGAAAGAATTTTTTTTTTCATAACGCTCCATCTTTCCAGTTTCCACTTGCTGCACTGCTGGTTTATCTTAGCTCTGGGAAACGCTTATGCAGCAAGAACAATTCTCAACACAGCCCTGATCAAATAAATACATGCACCATTATAAATAAATAACAGGGGGAGAGATTTAGAAAAGAATGAGTTTTGCTCTTAACTTTTATCGGGGAAAAAACCCCTCTTCTTCCACCTGAATTCTCTATACTCTCCTCCAACGATTGCAGTTACTACTCCTTCAGAGAATGAGATTAAGATGATGAGAAGGCACTTTAGATCTTCATGTTTTCCACTCCTGATTCCCTAATGGTACAAAGGAACAGAGTTCCCATTCTCCAGGCTCAGTGATATATTGTGATATCAGGAACCTTTCTTCCCCCAAGAGGAAAAAATGCTCTGCCTTAAAAGGTGGATGACAGGTGCATGGTAAAACCCTTTCGCTTTCTAATTTGAACTGGCTTAGATGTCTGGAAGTAGCTTAGGGGAAGTAAGACACTTTTCTGAAAAACTGGTTAAGTTTTTTTCCCCTTAAGTTCCTAATTTAAACTAAAATTCAGATTTAGGCCACAAATGTTCATCCTAAGCCAGTCTTTTTTCAGGCCTCCTGGTTATTGCTCAGGGGAAAAATTGGAGAAGAAACTACTCTGTGCACATTCTTAAATGAGAGGCAGGATAGAACATCCACCCAGCTATCCAAGCCCATCAGTGTTTCTAGCTACAGATAGCCCTCGACTTATGACTACAGTTGAGCCAATTGTTAAGTGACTTGTGCATTTTATTACCCTTTTTGCCACAGTTGTTAAGTGAATCGCTGCAGTTGCTAAGTAAATCATGTGGTTATTAAGCAAATGTAGTTTCCCCCATTGATTTCACTTGTCAGAAACCAATCGGAAAGGTTGCAAATGACAATCGCACACAACCCTGGGATGCCACAACTCTCACAAACAAATTGAATCAATTGTATTCAATGCATTAGAGCTTAATCCAAGGTTGGTATTTTTGAGTGATCTTGATCTTTGTACAGTTCTGAGGACAGCAGATCAGGGGTGGGATTCTACCAGTTCGCACCTATTTGCTAGAACCGGTTATTAACTTTCTAAGCAGTTCAGAGAACCGGTTGTTAGAAGAAATTTTGACTGGGAATGCAGGGGAGGTTGTAAAAGTAAGTCACTTTTTTCACTTCCGTTGTGATTTTGGTCACTAATCGAATGTTTGTAAGTCAAGGACTCGGGATAATCCCCAGAACATGGTAATACTCATTGTAATTATTAGTGATTGTTTTGTTTTGGATTCAGGCTTCTACATGAAGTAAAATTTACTTCTGATCTAGCCAAGTTGTTCTGATCTTTTATTTTATTATTTATTTATTTATTTTATTATTTTGTGAGTCATGTACAAGATAACAAGTATAGATATGAACATAAACATGAACAAAGGCAGTAAATACAGATAAATGGGGACAGTAAGACAGGGACGGTAGGCATGCTGGTGTGGTCATGCACGCTCCTTTAAGGACCTCTTAAGAATGGGGTGAGGTCCACGGTAGGCAGTTTGAGGTTGAACTGTGAGGGGTTGAGGTTGTAACAACGATGTAGGTAGGCAGTTTGAGGTTGAACTGTGAGGGGTTGAGGTTGTAACAACGATGTCGGATAGGGCGTTCCAGGCGTTGACCACTCTGTTACTGAAGTCGTATTTTCTGCCATCGAGTTTGTATCGGTTTACCTTGAGTTTCATCTTATTTCATCTGCTTTCCATGAACACTGAATTCCCTCTGGTCCTCCATTTCAGTGTCTCGAGGGGACCGTTCCGAGTTTCAGGAAAAGAAGGCTCGCTTAGCCGAAGACTTGAGCGAGAAGATCTTGCATCGTCCTGGGCCACTGGAATTGGTGAAGAAAAATATTCTCCCCTTGGATCCTGGTATCCAGGATGTTGTGACAGGTAGTACCATCAATAGTGCTTCAAAGCGGGGAGAGAACACAACCGCATGCAAGCTTCATTCTTTTGGAACTACTCCCAATTGTACTGGGCGAAACCATATTTAAAATAGTGCAAAGAGTGGGTGTAATGCTGGAACTGTAATTTTGTGATTGAAGAAAGCTTCAAATGTACCCACCATGAATTTAGCAGCCGTTTGAACAACACCAGTGGTGGGATTCAAATTTTTTTACTACCAGTTCTGTGGGCGTGGCTTGGTGGGCGTAGCCACGTGACTGGGTGGGTGTGGTGCTTTTTTTGCCACTCCCACCCATTTTGGGGAGCTTCCTAGCCTCAGAGGAGCCTCGGGGGGGGGCCTTTTTGCTCCCCTAAGGCTCCTCTGGGGCTCTGGGAGGCAAAAAATGCAGGTGGGGCTGAGCTCCTCCCTCCATTTTTTGCCTTCCTGGGCCTCAGCAAGGGGAATCCGGCACAGCTAATCTATGCACAGCTGATTGTCGGGAGTGGGAAAAAAAAGAAATATCTTAGGTCAGGCGGGCAGGTAAGCGAGCATCGGGCGGGAGGGCGACTGGATCGGGGGCGTGGCCAGCTAGAAGTTACTACCGGTTCAGTGATGTACGCCAAATTTTTGCCAGTTTGCCCGATGCGGTGCGAACCAGCTGAATACCACCACTGAACAACACTGAAAAAAGGGATTTATGACTTATCCTTGCACTTACAACTCATAGCATCCCTAGGATCATGTGATCAAGATTTGGGTGGTTGGCAACTAGCATGTATTTGCAAAAGTTGTAGCATCCCAGGGTCATTTGTGACTTTCCCAGCTGGCTTTCAACAATCAAAAATAATAGAATAGAATAGAATAGAATAGAATAGAATAGAATAGAATAGAATTCTTTATTGGCCAAGTGTGATTGGACACATAAGGAATTTGTCTTGATGCATACACTCTCAGTGTACATAAAAAGAAAAAAAAATTCATTAAGAATCATAAGATACAACACTTAATGATAGTCGTAGATTACTAAATAAGCAGCCAAATCACACTAGGAAACAATCAGTACGAATCATAAGGATACAAGCATCAAGTTACAGTCATAAGTCATAAGTGACTTGTGCTGGATTTGTGCATGATTCAGTTTACAACTTATACATGATTTGTGCATGATTCACTTTACAACTTAACGACCATGGCAAAAAAAAAATCATAAAATTGGGCACAATTCACTTAACAATTGCATTGTATAACAATAGAAATTCAGGTCCCAATTGTGGTTGTAAGTCAAGGACTTCTTGCCCAGAATGTGTTTTTTTAAAAAACAAGTTTTATTCAATGTTTCCAAAGCTCTTTTCAGTGTACAACATAATTCCGGATCACCACTTTTACATGCAAATATAACAATAATTATATATTCATTTTCTACATTCTGCTTCTTATCTTATCTATTTTTAACTTAATTCTTCAACTTTTACGTAAGAAAAGGAACAAACATTAATCCTGTTCACTAATATTACTTTCATTCTAAATATCTTCTCAGTTCATTTCAATTTATTTCAAATATTTCTTAAACATTAACGTTTCTTTTAAGCATGACTTTTTCCATAATACTCTTTTCTCATTTAAGTCACTAATAATTCCCATATCTTCATACTTGTTAACTTTTAATTCTTTTACCTGTCAGGTTTGCAATTCTATCGCATATTCTTTCCATAAATTCTAAATTTATACAAGCTTTTGCACACAAAATAAAACATGGATTTCCCCTCCCCTTTTACTAATTTGGGGGTGTCACCTCAGTGGTTTGAATATACCTTAATTCCCTCATCTTAATTCCCAATATACATTTATTTTAATTAGTTATAATACTAATTCCCTAGAAAAGAACTACATGACATTGTACTTTTCAGTCAGATTCCGCAATATATTTTCTCCTTTTACTTCCACAGAGTTTTATTTATAATACCAAAAGAAAAATTGCAGAAAGAAAAGCAATTAATCAATTTAGCTAGTCCTGGTCACTGATATTAATCTCATTTTAAAACATCCTTGCAATTCATTTCAATTATTTCAATATATATAAAATAAACATTAACCTTTCTTGTAACATTAAAAAGAACATACATTCATCTATTTAAAAAAAATATCAATGCCCTTCCCCCTCTCAATGATCTATATTCCCCTATTATCTAAATAACTTGTAATTACAAATACATTCTTATTACCCATCATATCAATACGGAATCTCCTTTCTTAATTCATTAACCATTATCCCTATGTATTCTAAATAAACAATTTTTTCCATTATTTTACAATTCCCATATTTATCTATTTCCTGTTCCTGTTCCTCATTACCTCTCTTCCCTTTTATTTTCCCAATCCTTTTCTCCCTCTGATTTATATCCCTCTCCCTCTTTATATCTCCTTCCCCCTTTTATTTTTCTGCTGTTTCTTTCTGTCTTTCCTATTTTTACAGGTATTTTCCTTTTTAGTTACTTTTTGGAATCTCCTGTTTTTAACCCCCCTTCTTTTCCCTCCTCTTTGTTGTATTTTTTTGCATTGATTGTCTATTTAAAATGTCTTCTTCTTGAACTAACTCCCCCTTCTCTGAAGTTTCTTCTTCATGTTCTTCAATCGCCATTTCCATGGCTTTTAACACTGAGCAAAATGATTCACCTCTTGCATCTAGTAGTTCTTTCATATTTTTAAGCATCATTTTTAATTCCCACAGAGATATCATCGGTGCACACTCTTGTATCTTATAATTATAAAATCCACAAGGCAGCTTCTCTTTTTCTTTTTTCTTCTTCAAGCTTTCTGGAATTCACAACTATTCCAACACTGGGTTTATACCAAAGTAACCAAATTAGTCCAACAGTTCGTCTTTTCTTACTTCTTTTTTTATTCTAGTTCAGCCTTTACTTTCTGGGGTACTCATTTTGTTGTTTCAATATTTTCTTTTCATTGTATGGAATCAAGTTCGTTAGAGAAACAGATTTTTTTTCTTTATATTTTCCAGTTTAAATTTTTGTCCACAAGATGACACTCTCCATTATACAAAGTCCTCACCCTTTTTTTCCTCCCCTTGTTTTATTTTTAGGGGCTTTCTGAGCCTCAATATTCCAAAACAATCAAGTCTCCAATTTGTATATTTCCCCCTTCTTTTTAATACTCTTAAATCCAGCTTTAGTTTATGCCTGTTTGTTGCCAATGTATTTTAATTCAACTTATTCAAGTTTCTTGTTCTGGCTTCTTCCTCTCCCGTTCGAAGCCCCATTCAGCTGTCAAAGTTATTTTCCCTCTTTTTTTCCCCTTCCCTTTTTAATTCTGCTTTCTTTTCTTTCTTAAACATTCTTAAAGCATCAATCCCGGGGTACCTTTTATTTAGTTGTTGTGCCAAATTGTCCCGGTTCTTATGTTGTCACACCTCCTTCTCCATTCCTGCACAAATCTTAGTCCAGCTGAGTCGTCCTCTTCAGGGTGGCAATTTTGGACCATCGTTTGGTCATCTTTGGGGGGAAAAATGCCAAACCCAGAGGGGGAAGATGCGGCTCCCCTCAACCTGGCTGGTGGCTTCCCCTTACTCCACCGCCCCTCCGAGGCAGCTTCAGCCCCTAACCACAATGACTGGGGCTCTCTGACAAAAGAGCACGGACCGAAACTGCAGACAGTCGCGGTTCCCTGTCTGTCAGCGAGGAGGGCTTAACCGGAACTCCCAGCACACAATGAGTTTTGATGACTGTGAGATCTCCAAGAACAGAAATTGATCAGACATTTATAAAATAGATGAATTGGTCATCACGTTCAATATAAAATAATTTTGTAGATAAAAAAGGAACAGGATAGCATTATCCTTTCACTCTGCTGTGAATTCCAAATAACCCACCCTGACTTTCTACCTCTTTTTTCCCTCAACATCATCTTCAGATGCAGCCCGTTGTAGAACCCCTGAGTCCTTCAACTTTGAAGACGATCTTAGTAGTTCCTCTTCCTCCTCTTCCCCATGTTTCGCATTGTCTCCAGGAGGTGGCCAAGGAAATCCTTCCACATCAGAAGCAGTTTTTCAAGTAAGCAGCATATATATAGACATATATATATATAGACATATATGTAAGCAACATATATATAGACATATATCCCTGTATGTGTGGGTTGTTGAAGTACTGTTTGATGAAAGTGGAAAATCTCCACGATACAATGAGAAGCTCCTTGCTATTTGGAGGAACTGACTAAAAGTAAGTGTTTTTCAACTTTGGCAACTTTAAGACATGTGGACTTCAAATCCCAGAATCCTGTGGCCAGCTGGGGAATTCTGGGAGTTGAACTTCACAAAGTTTAAAGCTGCTGAGGTTGTGAAACACTGGGAAAAGTGTACCAGCATGCAACTACAAGCCAGGATGATGCCTTTATGGGACCCCAACTTCTATCTTCAATGCTGTCTGAAGCTAATAGAATTTAGAATCTATATTGTGTCTTTCACTATAAAGCCTAAACCCCAAGCTTAAAATTCTTGTCCAGGAACAAGAATTGATGCTGTTGGAACAGAATTTATTTTGGATCCTGACATAACAGAATTTGGCCAAAGCCAAGGACATAGAGTTGAACTAATGAACCAGCAGTACTTAAAGATAAAAATAACTAGCTTATCCTGGGATATCCGTTAAAAGGGGCACACTATACCTATTTCTAATATCTCTATAAAAGAGGTGGTGTAATAAAATATAACACAAGCAGATCAATACTCACACTCATACATACATACGCATATATATTGCCTGGTGCTCCAAAAGGTTTGTGCTAATAGGATTACATCTGTTTCCAATTAGATAACCAAAATTTAATAATAAAAACCACAGGCAGCAACAACTACTAACAAAACTAATACTTCAGACTGGTCACTGTAAAAATCCCATAACCATATATAGAATCAATTAAATTACGGCATTTTAATAGCTTTGCAGAATATCAATAGAGAAGTGCCAGGTACAAATAGAAAGATTTTCACAGAACAGGAACCACTATAGAATAGCAATTTTGTGTTCAGCGAACAGAGGAGGTCGACAGAAAAGTTTTTCCAGCAATAATCATTGAATTTGATCCATAGGAATAATTATCAATGTGCTGGCTAGGGAATTCTGGGAATTGAAGTTTACACATCTTAAAGGCTCTAAGATTGATGAACACTGGTTTAGAGGAAGCTGTTGCCTTATATGGCTAACTATTACATTTTCTTCCATAAACAAAGACACTTTGCTCTGACTGGTTCCTAGAATATCCTGACGTGATTTGTCACATATGTGACTTGTTCTTTTTAGAGAGCACAGATAATGGTCTTTATTTCTCTAGTGAGAATTGTTGCTCCATATCCCCCCCAAATATATTATTTATTTTTAAATTTATTTAATGTCCCCCTTTGTTATTTGTATAAATAATTCAAGACAAACAGACCTAATACACTTTCCTCCTCTTATTTTCCCCACAGTAGTGAGGTCAATTGGGGCTGAGAGAGCGGGACAGGGCCGAAGTCACCCAGCTGGCTTTCAGGTCTAAGCAGAGACTAGCGGTGGTGGGATTCAAGCTTTTTTTACTACCGGTTCTGTGGGCGTGGCTTGATGAGTGTGGCAGGGGAAGGATACTGCAAAATCCCCCTTCCCACCCCACTAACCTACTTTCCAGCTCCATTCTCCTGTGCAGGGCAACAAAAGAAGACCCAGCCGATCAGCTGGGACTCAGGAGGCAGAGAATAGATGGTGGGGTGGGGCCTATCAGAGGTGACATTTGCCAGTTCTCCGAACTACTCAAAATTTCTACTACCGGTTCTCCAGAACTGGTTAGAACCTGCTGAATACCACCTCTTGAGACTAGAACTCACAGTCTCCTGGTGACTGGCTCAAAATCATCCAGCTGGCTTTCCTGTCTAAGGCCGGACTAGAACTCCGTCTTTCCTAGATTCCTGTCTTCCTTCCCTTCCCCCTTCCTTTCCCCCTTCTTTTTTTTTTTTTCAATGAACCAAAATAGTGATAGCGTAACTAGTACAGCTCACTTTAGCCAGTGTGATTCATGGATGGGCTTTTCTGACCTTCATCTTTATTAAACAGCCAGCCAGCCAGGGTTCAAATTATGGGGAAGAAGATAAATGCAATGTGATATGAGGAGAAAGCAAACTGAGCGATAGCCTTAGTGGCCTCTGACATTAATACAAATGATTGAAATCCAGATGGACCAGCGCAGGTGGGCCTCTACCGCAAAACGTTGCAGTACGTAGGGGTTTCTATTCAGGCTGTGACATTCTATTTCTAATAAATTTTTCTGGAGGTTTCCCAGTGCCACTTCAAACTCTGATTCCTTTGAATTGGAAAAATCCCACTTGTTTACCCTATGTTTTTTTTTTCACCATTTAAAAAAAAAAAGTAGTAAATCTTGCATTCTGCCCAAACTAGCCTGACATCTTTTACTCGCTGTGCTGCTGTTGCTTTTAATGCCTATAAACAAAGCCACTGACAGTCTGAAGGTTGGAAATAAAATAATCTAACATCCTGCTGAAAATGTTCTCACGAAGTTTTATTGAATACAAGCAGTCCATAACTTACGACCACAATTGGACCACAATTTCTGTTGCTATGCAATGCAATTGTTAAATGAGTTGCATCCAATTTGAAGACTGGCGGGTTTTTTTTGCCGTGGTTGTTAAGTGCATCACACCAAAGGTGTTAACTGAATGTAGCAGTCATTAAGTGAATCCAGGTTCTCCCATTGACTTTAGATGTCGGAAGCAGGCAAGGAAGGTCACAAATAGTGATCACATGACCCTGTGATGCTACAACAACTCGCAATACCTGCTGGTTGCCAAGCATCCAAATTTTGATCATATGACTCTGAGGATGCTACCACAGTGATAAATGCGAGACCAGTCTTTACACATATTTTTCAGTGACATTGTGATTTCAAAAGGTTGCTAAGTGAATGGTTGCAAGTTGAGAATTACCTGTATGCGTAAAAGAAAGTAGTGTAAAATATTAAAATGTCTAGTGTCGGTTGGTTATGCTACTGTTTTCCACACATGAAAAAAAATGACTCCTAAAGTTCATGGCTTACATCCAACTACCAGTATATTAATTCCTCAACATTTCTCTATTTTTTAATATTTTTTTTAATCTTGGGACTATGACTTTAATGGGCATTAAAAGTGCAGTGGACAGGCTCAGTTGACAGAAAGGCCTTTGTGGTTTTATTAAAGTAGAAGAAGTTTTGCTTTATTTTCTTGGCTCAAATTCATAGATGAAGATTCTGGGCATCATCCAGTATTGAAAACAAGAAAAAAAAAACAGAATAGCTAGGGGAAAAAAAGGCTGTGGGGGCTTGTGGATTCACACTGTTGTGTAGAACGAAATAAGAGTCTAAACCTGGAGGCAAAGCCAGTTTATTAAGGCCTTCCAAACAGGGTCAGGGAAGGGCCAGATGGATGTCTATCCCAGAGGGCAGGTCCTGCAATGGAGAAGACCCATTTCCAGGATTCCATCAAATGATATAGAATACTTTCATTGACCAAGTGTGATTGGACACACAAGGAATTTGTCTTGGTGTAAATACTCTCAGTATACATAAAGAAAAGGTACATTCGTTAAGAATCAAGAATCATAACGTACAACACTTAATGATGGTCATAGGGTGCAATCAACAATCAAATTAACGGTAGAACCCAGAGCAGACCAACTTTGTCCAATCAGACAAGTCAGGAAGGAAGTATTGGGAGGAGAAGTAGGTCAATTTCCCCCACTCAAGTTCAACTTAAATAATGGAAATCAATTTTATTAAAAAGCCAGGAAAGAGGCCTGTAGTATTGAAGAATACATTAATGTGTGTGTGTGTGTGTGTGCGCGCACGCGCGACGCACGTGCGCATATGCATGTGTGCCCATATTTATCTATATTTGAGTGTGTATGTGTGTGTGTGTGTGTCTGTCTGTCTGGTAAACTGCTGCCCTCTGCAGGACACTTTGAAATATTCTTGAATTCGGAGCCGAAGTCCCCAATGTGGCAAATGCCTACTTGCTATTCCCTGCCCTCATTTATGTAGGTGGTCCTTAACTTACAACCAGTTGCCTAGCAACCAAGGAATTTACAAAGGGCTGCCAAAAAGGGTACTTACAACCCGGATTCGGTTTCAACAGCTGAGCTCCTCCCTTCCATCAGGATGCTGCCAATGGCCCGCATTTATGGCCATTGGCAGCATCCTGAGGTCATGTGACCACGATTTACTGTAGTTTTTCTGAGAAATAGACGTTTACTTTTGTAAATGCCTATTTCATGGAAAAACTATAGTAAAAAACACCCAGTTCAGACGAGAGAGAGAGGAGTGAGTGAGGGGGGAGGGAGACAGGGAAAGAGAGAGGTCGAAACGCTGGCTGCAACTGTTCCATCAAAGCTGCTCCATCTTAATTGCCTAAAGATTGTTGCAAATAACTGAAAAAAAAGTCATAAAATTGGGGTCAGTCACATGATGGTTTGTTTAATGGCAAGTATGGCTTAAGGCCGTATTTCCGGGCTCTATAACAGTTGTAATAGAAGATTACAAGTCAATCACTACCTGTAACATTCATATTTAACATATTTTAATTTTAAACCAAGTTATAAAAAGTTGGCAGGCTGCAAAAGAAAGTATTGGTGATGAAAATCAACTTGGTTTCCAGGAAGTTTTTTGGGATTCTATGTACAAATGTTTTACAAAATCAAAATGAGTGCTAGACATCATGATACCCATGGGCACAGCCATTCTGTGAATATGTATCCACCCCATGGCAGCCATTTTCTTGGAACATCCGTGATGCTTACCAGCTTAAACTGTCACATATCCATGGCATGAAATAGTAGCAATTAGTGAATTTAGGAACCCCAGGGTAATGGGTTCCAACATGGGGTCTGTTAGGTTCTTAAATGAACCCACTACTCTGGTTTATTCGCCAAACCATAGTTTAAGAAACAAGATCAATACATTACTCAGTAATGTATATGTAAGAGCCAGCGTTTTATTTTTCCTCTACAGCTGGACCTGCCCCCAGTCCTGGTGGATCAACAGCCTGCTGTCACTTCATCTACCTCTGAGGCCGAGTTCTCTCTCCAGGGGGGAAACCTCCTCAAGCCCACAATTTCGCTCCCGAAGGTAGGCCTGGGTCATTGGCAGAGGAGAGCCCAGTGGGAATGTTGCTGGAGAAAGTCTTTTCCACTATTTTTTCACAGAGAAAAAGCTCAGCCATGGCTTGATGACATGATTTTGCAAGGCTTTGCAATGGATGCGCTCTAGGGTCCTGCCAGGAAGGATGTCTACGGGAGGGGGTCACATTTTCTCTGATTTTTTTTAATCCTTATGTTAATATTTTAATGGCTTAGTTTTTCTTGTATTGTAAGAGTCCTTTTGGATAGTGAGATAGGAGGCATATTAGATACATAGACAAATGATAGATGATGGATGGATGGATGGATTGATGGATGGACGGACAGACAGACAGATAGTTGTTAATCGCAAAGTCATGTCCGACCCATCGTGACCCCATGGACAATGTTCCTCCAGGCCTTCCTGTCCTCTCCTATTCCCCAGAGTCCATTTAAGCTCACGTCAACTGCTTCAGTGACTCCAGCCAGCCACCTCATTCTCTGCCATCCCATTCTTCTATTGCCCTCAATTGTTCCCAGCATTAGGCTCTTCCTCAGTGAGTTCTTCCTTTTCATTAGGTGGCCAAAGTATTTGAGTTATATTATAGATACTATAGATCAGTGGTCGGGGAACAGGGGTAAATTACCCCAAATGGGGTAAAAGTGAAAATCTGGGGGTAATGAGGAGGTTGCGCTGGCCAATGGCGGAACTATCGGCATAGCAGCAGTTATTAAAACACCCTTGAGGCAAATTTATCCCCTCCACCCCACCCTTGTTTCCTGGGTCGGAAATGACTCCAGGCTAGATTCTGCAAGAGCCGCGCCGCCCGTTTTTTAGGGGAAGGCGAGCTTCTGGCATAGGGCAGAGCATTTTGGGAAAAGGGACGCTTTCCCCCGCGCTGCGATGACCGCACGCTTTTCGCGCGCAGTTTGTGTCACCGTGGCTCCCAAATATCATCCTCCCTTCCCGCTTCCTCGCCCCCAGGCCCTGCCTGCCTGCCAACTAGCCAGCCAGCCCGGCTCCCTCCCCGAAGCCTCTCATCACTGCCAGGCACACAGGAAGCGAAGAGGCACCTGCAACGGCCGCCTTGGCCCCGAGAAAATTCCCAGAAGCCCTCGGGGAGCCTGGTGACATTTCATTCCCTGGAGCGAGCTATCCCGCCTTCTTCCCAGCCGCGGGGGGGGGGAGGGCACCTCCTCCCGCCTCGACCTCCAAATTATGTGTCAGCAGCCTGAGGTGGCCGGGGAGGGGGAGAGGCCGGGAGGGGTAACGTCTGCGTTTATAAATTTTTTGGGGGGTAAGAGGTAAAAAAGTTCCCTGACCCCTGCTATAGATAAATAGCTAGATATGATGATGATAGATAGATAGATAGCTAGATAGATAAATAGATAGATAGATAGATAGATAGATAGATAGATAGATAGATAGATAGATAGATAGATAGATAGATACCATGTTTCTAACATAATAAGGCCAGGCCTTATTTTTTTTTGAGCCCCGAAAAAATGGCTAGAACGTCTTTTCGGGGGTGAATTAATTTCTCCCCCCCCTCCCCGCGCACACCAGCGCTGTCTCCAACAACAGCATCTGAGTCACTCTCGCTTTCCCCCCGTCCCTGTAACAACAGGGAAAAAAAGATTGTGAGGTACCAGGGAGCACCACGTGCTGTGTTTTGGTTTAATCCCAAGCGGCTGGGTGGGCGTGAGAAGAGCCGAGCGAGCGTCTCTGCTGCTGCTACCCTTGGTGCTCCAGCCTCGGGCTCTGCAAGTTTGCAAAAGTCCCAGTGTGCAGCCCGTTCCTGCATTCAAAGTGCCCAGGCTGAGCTGCAGCTGTCCCTCTCTTGCCAGTGCCGTCTCCAACAATAGCGGCAGCAGCGGCAGGAACCGTGGAAGCGTTTCAGCCACTTCTCAGGTGGGGAGCTGCCTCCGTAACTTCCACGGTCTAAATTTGGCCTAAATTTGGCCTTAATTTCATTTTATGCCTAGAAAACATGCTGGGTCTTCCTATTGCAGGGGGCATATTGTTAGAGAAACACGGTAGATAGATAGACAGACAGACAGACAGATGGTAGGTAGGTAGGTAGATAGATGTCAAAATGCCGGCTGTAGCTGCTCCATCAAAGCTGCTCCATCTTAATTTTTTTAGTCTCCCTGTGGAAGGAAAGCTGTTAATTCTTCTTCCCCTAGTGCTCCTGCCTCATTTGTAGGCAGAGAAAAATGGGGTAAATGTGGGTAAAATTTAATTAATTTTAGTTCATGATGTTGTAAGGTTCAGCTATAACTTAAAATCACAATGTGCCAAAAATGAACTTAAGCAGAGGCTTTGAAGAACAAAATCTAACTTTTATTAATCAATAAAAGGGTAAGACCTCTCCTCTCATACACACAGATATGTGAGGAAAGTTACAAAGCATATAGGTGAAAGTAACTCTTCTTATACCTTAAGATTCTTTTAGAAGTAGAGTAATTTCATTATAAAACACTCCAAGTTAGATTTACATCTTTCCTGCAAAAAGACAAATGTCCTCCTGGCACTTGTTTATCTTTCAGTATCCTTTCTCCTATTGTCTGTTAATCGATCACAATTGACCATTTAAGAGGGCTATTAATGGCAAACTTCAAAAGGTGTATATTGCTCCTGATGTAGGGAGTGACGTTCCCAGGGAGTACATTCCATTCAGATTGATTTAGATGGGATAATCATGTGTCTTCATATGAGAGAGATGTAACTAATTGCAGGCTAGTTTTATAACACAAAGGTTAGAGAAATATTTTCCACAATTGCTAGGTAAGAAATGCCTATAGAGATAAATACTTCTATATACATAGGAAAACAACTGCCTAACATCAAGATAAGACACGCTTATAGAGTAACTCTCTACTCTCTCTCTCTCTAATATTTTTTATTTCTTTCCTTTATTACCCTAACAATGTCAATGATGTACTGATGTTTAGGTGGTACAATGTTTTTTTTTACTCCAGTCTGCATGGATTATTGTTGAGGAGGCCTTTCTGTAAAGGGAAGTGCAGCAGCTGCTGGCTTTGAGTAGCCACAGGGAGGAATACTCCGATAACCTCTGCAAATCAGTTATAGGACAGGACAGGACAGGAAAGGAAAGGACAGGACAAGACAGGAAAGGACAGGACAGGACAAGACAGGAAAGGACAGGACAGGACAGGACAGGAAAGAAAAGGAAAGGAAAGGAAAGGAAAGAAGGTAAAGGAAAGGAAAGGAAAGGAAAGGAAAGGAAAGGAAAGGAAAGGAAAGAAGGGAAAGGAGCGGAGAGGAGAGGATTTTGTGCTGATTTTGCCCTAACTGCCCTCTCTTGTCAGCAGAATGTAGACAGAAAATAAAAGATAACCTGGTATTCATTCCAAATTGCCTTTATAGGCCAGTTTTGTCCTGAATTCTCCCTTCCATTTTTTAAAAATTACAGTTTGCTGAATAAGTCATAGATACTGCTGGGCTACAGTTCCCGGCAATTCTAAGCAGCATGATCAATTTTCAGAGAGGATGAAAACAACATCTGGGGTGCCTCAGGATTCACACTCCTGCTAGGAAGTTGTTATCTTTCCATCCCCTTCCCTCCTCTTGGTCCTGCTGCACAAGAGTCACACATTTAGCACCTGAAGCCTCCCCCCAGCATGCAAGGACAGCCAAGGAGAGTTGCTGAGGCTTCGTTTGCTAAAGTTTGCCTGTTGGCGTCAGGCACGTGCATTGTTTATTTATTTCAAACTACAGTATATCCCGGCTTTCCAGACTCAGGAATCAAACACTGTAAAAATTGAGACTCATCCAAATGCGCTGTTACAATATTGTAAATGCCCTAAGAGCCATCCCCTGGCGTTCTTCTTAATTTTAAACACTAATTGAATCAAATTTCCACAAATTTATTTTCTGAGTATCTCCAATTTCAGTAAGTAGCAGGTGTGCACCAGAGAAGTTTCTACTTTATGATATGGGGAGAAGCCTACTCAAGGATGTTGGGCCTTAGAAAAGGTGTGCCTATATTATCTTCATTACATATAGTTTTTGACTAATGGCTGAAAGAGATCAGGGCAATTAAATGGACGGAGTGGAAGTGGCTACATTATTAGGGAACCGAAAAGTTAGAAAAGGCAAGCAAGGACCTTATCGAAGCTTCGCAACCCCGGCAAGAAAAGCACAAAAGGCATGAACACATATTATATGTAAAAAAGGAAGTTGTAATTTCTACCTATCATCTAGTCCAGGGTTTCTTAACCGTGATACTTTAATAATAAATTGATTTATTCAATGTTTCAATAATTAAAAATAAAACTGATTTCCACACTTTGCAATGATACTGGAACAGCATTTACATTGGTTATTAATATCTATAGCTGTATTATCCATAGCTGTATTAGATTCTTCCTCATTCAAAACATTTTAATACATATATACATATTTTTACACATATGTGTTAATACTTTGTACTTTCTCGTATATTATCCTTTGACGCCTTTGCGTCTTCTCAGCCATTTGTATCACACATCCCATACCGTGCAATACTACTCTCTTTCTTTCTTATTTTTCAATAACATCATCGATCTGTCCATTTTGACGCATTCAAATATCTTATTCATTATTGTGTTTTCTGAGGGGGCCGTGGTACTTTTAAGGTGTGCGGATTTCAACTGCCAGAATTCCCCATAAGGACTTCAACTCCCAGAATTCCCCAGCCAGCAAGGGGAATTCTGAGAGTTGAAGTCCGCACATCATAAATGTAATTCAGCTGAGAAACCCTAGATTCTCTCTTTTTTTCCCCCCTCTCCTTGCTCTGGCCCACAGACATCCTGAGCCACGTTTATAAACTTCCCTTCCTTTTTCAATCCTGCTCTTTAGGCCTTACACAAAGTTCCTGAGGCCAGAAAGGCACCTCGACCCAAAAAGGCCAAGGAGCCCCGGCCCAAAGTCAAGAAGCTGAAGTACCACCAGTATATGCCTCCCGATCAGAAGGGGGAGCAGACTCCCTTGCCCATGGACTCCGCCTACGCTCACCTCCTGCAGCAGCAGCAGGTTTTTCTGCAGCTCCAGATCTTGAATCAGCAGCAGCAGCCCATGGCTGCCCCTCCAGCAACCTTCTGCGTTCAGGCTCTCCATGCTATTCCCTCCAGGTAAGCCTTCGCTTTGCCCTGAGAATTACACAGGTATGGTTTCCAAGCAGGCTTATCTGCAAAGGAAATCCAAAAAGTCAAGAGGAGACATCCCTTTTTTGCTCTCGTGCTTGTCTTCTGGATTTTTTTTTCCTCCTGAAATTAGCATGTCCCCTGATGGCCTTTCAGAACATATAGTTATGTGCCCAGGCCTGGTGTCCTGAGTAGATGAGGGGCCCCTTACCTGGCTGGGTCAACACTTTTAGCTTATATATTTCTTAGCTACAGGTAGTCCTCAACTTACGTCACAACTGGGACCAGAATTTCTGTTGTTGAGCAAGGTAGTTGTTCACTGAGTCACGCCCAATTTTAGGACCTTTGTGGCCACAGTTGTTAAGCAAATCACTGTGGTTGTTAAGGTCATCAAGCAAATTTGGCTTCCCCCACTGACTTCACTTGTTAGAAACTGGCTGGGAAGGTTGCAAATGGTAATCACATGATCCCAGAACATGGTAACTGTCCTAAATAGATGCCAGTTACCCAAGTGTCTGAGTTTGGATCACATGCCCAAGAGTGTGCTGCGATAGCCGTAAGTGCAAGCCGTAAGTGTAAGTCACTATTTTCGATATCGTTGTAACTATGAACAGACGTTAAATGAATGACTGTAAGTCAAGGACTTTTTGTCTTTCATTTTTCTTTTTCATTTTTCTTTTTATCATGGTTAACTGGTGAAGTGTTTTATGATTGTGTGCTGCTGTTTGAGATGGGCAGCTTTGCAAAATAAAGAAATAAAAAGGTTGGCCAAATTACTATGCAATTACACACCTGTATTTATCTTGACTATGCTTGCCATCTTGCAGATAGTGCCCTGTTTGCAGTGGGCTCAATCTTGACTCATGGCACGGCTTGCTATTGGGTGCTGCTAAAACGTGTATATTTATTTTGCTAAGTTTCCCCAGAGACTCACCACTTATTCTCTACTTCAAGGAATTGCTCTCCAATTAATATTAAAATGTATGTTGCTTTCCAATTAAGCAAGGAACATACAGCTATTTTTATTTCTTTGACTTTCTGGCTCTGGGGAAAGATGCCCCAGAAGTGCAAAAAGCAGCGTTAAATTAACTGACCATTTTTATTAAGTACCAGAAGTCAGAATTAGTTACTCAAGAGAAGCATCTGCTGAAATTAGTCATGGTGAATTCACACAAGTCCCAGTAACTGCAATGGGACTTAATTGTGATTAGCAAAACCTGAATATCTATCCACCAGTTCTAGAAACAACTTGCTAAATTGGCAGTATATAAGCATGCAGTGTTAAATGAATGCATTACTGGTTGTCCTCAACTTACGACCACAATTGGCACAAGAATCTCACTCACTGAGCAAAGAGGTTGTTAAGCGCAATGTCATCTGATGGCCCACATGATTGCTGCAATTCTATCACTCCTGGTTGCAGCCATTAAGTGTGAATTGTTAAGCTGACAGGGTTCCAGGGAATGAGCGGGGTGTGTGCCTCAGAGGGGTTGAAGAGATCTTTGGAGGCTCTACTCAAGAACTGAGAATCCTCCCTACCAAACCGTAAGTAGGATTTTCAACTCCTGAGTGGAGTGGTATTCGTGGTTGGCCTGCACCAAGCCACCCAGGCTTTCCCCCATCCCAATTAGGTACCCCAGGCTCTTCTCCTTACCATACTGCTTCTCTGCTCAGGAGCCCTGCACAAATCCAACTTTCACCCCCTGAGACCTTTGTGGATGGCCTGTGCCATAACTTCTCTACCTGCCTGCCTGAGGCACCCCACACTCCTCATCTTACTGTGCTGCCTCTCCAGTCTCTGCTTGGATTTGGGCGCCATCTTGTCTCTGGGGGCTAGCTGAAAGACCTGCCTGCTGACAGAGTTCAGCTGTCCTGTGTGTGTGTGTGTGGAAGGGAACTTCCTTGCGGGGTGTTGGTATATTTCTACACCTAGCTGTGATAGCCAAATCTAGCCCTAGGTTCTGCCTCGGTTTACATTCTCAATTGGCAACTTGGTCAGAAGGTCATTTAAAAGTAGTTTATTAGGGTACCCCGATAAAGTGGGATCTCTCCCTATGAAAAGGAAAACGTTGAAACCTTGAGTGATGGGAACTTTTGGGTCTGTGGGAGTGGCTTGGTGGGCGTGGCTGCAGGAGTGCGCATGCGTTAAAACAGTAATAACTAAGCTACTGTGCCTCTCAGCCGCTCTACCGCGCCAAACAGCTGAGAGGTTAAAAAGGACCTGGGAGTAGGGGTGGATGGGTGAGCCCAACTGCAGAATGTCAAGAGAGTGAACCAGTTCTCTGACAGCTGATCTTTGGCGCTATCGGTATGCCAGAACCAGGCCGAACCCGTAGAATACCACCACTGCTCGAGACCCTTCTTACATTCCTTTTTATACTTAACACCACAAAGAAAAATGAAACAGGAAAGTTAGTTGGTAAGATAAGAATAACCCCCCCTCCTTGCACAAAAAATCAACTACAAAGCTTGTTAGAAATTAGATAACCAGATGCCATTTGACACAAAAAAATATTTTCTTACCAGGAGATCGTCTCCAGACATCCTTCTGTACATTATCTTTCCCAGTTTAGGAATGTTAAAAGCTATCTAACCAATCCATATGATCAAAGGATTAAAGTTTTCCTACATTCCAGTCTGTAATAAACCTGAACATAGAAAATAAGTCAAATTAAAATATAAAGTATCTATGTATCACAAGTATCACAAGTTACAAAATCTATGCCATGTGCCCCTCACTGAAGGAATTTAGCTCTCTTGGGAAAGGCAGCTGTTTCAACCAACCCCCTGGAGATGAGTTGGAGTGATGAGTTTGCAAACTACCCTGCCAGCTTTCCCACTGACTTTCTGGGGAAGCTGGCAGAGAAGATTGGAAACGGTAATCACATGATCGCAGGACGCTTGGCAACCAGCTGTATGTTGCCAAGAATCCAGACTGTGATCATGTGATCACAAATGATGGTGTTGCAAGATTTTGTAGTGGCAGCCAGGGAGTGCTTCACAGACCATAAAGCTGTTGTAATGCTTTTGTAATTCCAAACTGTCGTTACACAGAAGGTTATAGGCCAAGGTCTGTACACAGCATTGTAATAAACACCGTTCACATTTGAACACATGTAATACAATATATCATTTTGCTGATGTCTTATCCTTGTTCACTCCTTATTCTGGAGCTCTTCAGCTGGGATGCCATATCTATCCTTAATGTTAGCAAGTTTCTCCTCTGCCTTAAGAACTGTTGAAAGCTGGCTTAGAGCTGGTTTGGTGAATTGTTTTATTTGTCTTTACAGAATTGTCTTTTATTTCTCCTTCAAACAGCCTTGGAAAGAATGGACGGCTCTCCTCCTTCACATTTGTTCTTCTCAATGATCTTCTGAGGGACTTTGATGGGGGAGCCATTGATCCGTTTAGTTTCCTTACTAAGTGGAAATTTAAACCTACAGCTTCCAATTTAAGTTACCCCAAATAATAATAATAATCAGTTAAACCTGTATGCTGCCCAACTTTCAATGAAGTTAGACATCTGTTAAGTGGACTAATATCATTTTGTCTTATAGTCTGAGGCAAAACTGTCCAGAAGCAATAGACTCTTGTTTATTTTCTTTCTCTGCTTCTCTCTCTCTCTCTCACTCTCTTTAACCCAGCAATGCTCCAGAGCAACTTTTGAATTTCCCTGGGACTCCGGCTCCCACAAGTGGGCCTCCAACACTTCCTCTTCCTTCTCCGGCCACCCCAATCTCCCCTTTGCCACCAAAACCGGAACTGTTACCTGCCAACTTAGAAGAGCTCACAGTAAGTTTGGGGGTTTATCAACTCAAATCTCCTAACCAACATTAAGCAAATTGCTGGCAAAGTATTGATTAAAGGCCCGGGAGCAATAGAATAGAGAATAGAATAACTTTATTGTCCCTTTGAATGTACGCTAATTGCATACATTAAAATGAAATTTCGTTGTATGCAGCTCTCAAAGGATTACCACCTCCAATATACGCTACATAAACATGACAAAATAAATAAATACAAAATTATATATGTATTATATGACAAATACACATACACAGCCAAGGGTGAAAGAGTTGTAAGTGGGCAGATGTGAGAGCCAGTTTAATGCGGTAGCCTAAAGATCCTGGCCTAAAAAACCCCAGAAAGCTTAGTTCTAGTTCCAGCTGGACTTGAAAGTCAGTTTGGGTGACTTGTTTGGACCAATCGTTATAAGTCTGTGAGTTGCAGTCCTGCCTTACATATATAAATCAATTGGGTGACCTTGGACCAATCATCAGGAGACTATGAGTTCCAGTCCTGCCTTAGCAGGAAAGCCAGTTGGGTGACCTTGGACTAGTCACTCTCAGCCCAACCTACCTCACAGGGTGGTTGTGGAGAAAATAGGAGGAGGAAGGAGTATTAGATATGTTTGCTGCCTTGAGTTATTTATAACAATAGTAAGGTGGGATCAATATATAATAAATATTTCCTATGGGGAGAAGAGGTAATAGGGAACCAAAAATTAAGCCAATACAACCAATACAATTTGCTTAGTTATATTCAAGTACAGCCAAGTCTGTTTTTTCTCTGCATTGAGGACATTTTCCAGCCACTGTTATTATATCATTGCCTGCCTCATCTCTGAGAAAAATCAAGCCAAGGAGCTGAGTGTGGCCTCCTCAGACCCTACCGGGAAGAAAAGGGGATCCATGACAAGACCGGTGGCTTTGGTTTCCCCTCTTTCTCTTCCCAGGGGAAAAAAAAAACCACACAATCGGGAAGAGATTGGGAAATGCACCAAAATGGGTATTTCAGCTATTGCAAAACCATGAAGAAGAAAGAACCCAAACCCCACCTCTCTGTGAAAGATCAGGAGCCACATTTGTGGTGTGTCACTGTGTACCACTTGCGCATGCGTGTGCTAGCCACGGCTAGATAGCAGGCAGCAATCTGGAAGTGCTGGTGGCTTCCAACTACCTCAGGCCATCAACGACTTGAGATACTTACCTTGGTTACTATGGTTACCGTTTTGGAAGCAAAATACAGGTTGCCCTTGACTTAACAATCACAATTGAGATCTCAACTTCTGTCTTAAATTGTAAGTCGAGTTGGGCCTGATTTTATTATCATTTTTACGACAGTCGTTAAGTGAATAACAACATTTATTAAACAATTCCCTGGTTGTTAAGTTGTTAAATATTTGAACACGGCAATCGCAAGTGAGAACCCATTCTTCCAAATGGGCGTTTGATGCTGAAAAAAATTGCAAATTGCGATTGCGTGACTGCCACCAGTCATAAATGCAAGGTGGTTGCCAAGCACTCAAGTGGTATCCTATGACCATGGGAGTGTGTGGGTGTGCAAAAGTCATAAGTGCGAGGACCAAGCTTTTTTCAGCACTGTGATAACTTCAGATGCTCCCTAAATGAATGGTTGTAAGTCGAGGATTATCTGTCGACCTGGGGAGTGTATTACTACCCCGGCCAAAGAATCCAGCAACTCAGGAGGCTGGTACACCAGCAGCCATCCCAACCATTCCCTTCAGCCTGAGCACCTCACCTCTGGTTATCTGCTAAGAGAAGCCTTTGACAGGCTGTAACAATCCATGGATGACAACAGCCATCACTCCTCCCCTCCCTTGGCGTCTCAGCCGGTGCACAACCTCCTCCAAGATACGTTTGTGAATAACGGAGGCGTTTGTGACGTGCTGACTTACTATTCTATAACAACAGCTGAAGTCCAGAACTGTTGAGGATCTGACAGCCAGACGCCGAAGGTGGAAACCAAGGGTGCGACAGCGGGAGAACTTTCAAACATGGGCCGTGATGTCCCTTGACTGCAGCCCACCTATAGATTTCCATCACGCTTCCCTCTGCCTGTCTCCATCAAGATGGTCGGGACGGATCACTTTTGCTCTGCTTTGCGTTGTTAGAGGTCCCCTCATGGTAGAATTGTGGAGTGGGAAAGAGCCACCAGAGTCCTGAATTCCAAACTTCAACACTGTGAAGGAAAATCAGTTAAGCCATCCTTGAGAGGTGACAGTTCAGCCTCTTTTTAGAAACCTCCAGAGGTAGAGTTTGTCCTCTCTCCCCTCAAGAATCAAGTCTGGGATATTTTTTTCACTGCTCGTGGAAATAGGGAGCACACGAACTCATAACTTTGCCATCCAGCCCTTTCTCTGGCTTCACACTCCTCTAATACCTTTTTTTTTTCTTATGTGAGGACATTTAGTTTTATTCTGTGGAAGGTTTTTCACCGAAAAGTGGAATAAAAATGCATGAAACAAATCCTAAATACAGGTACAGGTAGTCCTCAACTTACAGCGGTTCATTTAGTGGCTGTTCAAACTTACAATGGCACAAAAATGTGATTTATGACTGTTTTTCACAGTTACACTCTCTGCAGCATCCCCCCCCCCCCACAATCATGGGACAAAAATCCAGATGTTTGGCAACTGGTTCACCTTTATGACCGTCGCCGTGTATCCCAAGGTTACATGATCCCCTTTTGCGACCTCCTGACGGGCCAAGTCAATGGGGAAGTCAGATTCACTTAACAACCGGGTTACTGACTTACTGACTGCAATGATCCCCTTAACAACAGTGGCAAGAAAGGCCGTAAAATGAGGCAAAACTCAAGTATCAAATGTTTTTTCACTTAATGCCAGAAATTTGGGGCTCAATTGTGGTCGTAAGTCAAGGATGACCTTTCTGTAATTGAACTCAGAATTATGAGTCTAAGTCATTCTGGTTATTAAGTGGGTCAGCACCTGACCTCACCCAATTTTACAATTCTTTTTATAGTGGTCATTAAGTGACTGCCGTGGTTGTTAAGTGAAGCCATTGTCCCCAATGGACATCTTTTGCCAGGAACCAGAAATAAATACTGGTTTCCGGCAAAAAAAAAAAAAAGTCATAAGGACACTGAAAGCAAACGTAAATGCGGGATGGTCGCCGAGCCCCCCCAAAAGGGACTTCAAGAGGGGTGCAGCCATCAGAACTTTGAATCAGGGTCATATGTACCTTTTAGGCGATCCTCTATAATTTCAAACATTTGCTAAGTGACCGGTCATAAGTCAAGGACCACCTGTAATCTGTCCTGCATGCATTTGATTAATATAGATAGTCCTCAACTTAAGAGCACAATTTGAACCCAACATTTCTGTTGCTAAGCAAGACAGCTGTTAAGTGAGAAATAGCACATTTTACGACCTTTTTGCCACGGGTGGATAAGTAAATCACTGCAATTGTTAAATGAATCAGGTGGTCATTAAGCAAACCTGGTTTCCCCCGTTAACTTTGTTTGTCAGAAGCCAGTTTGGAAGGTTACTAATGGTGATCACATGATCCCAGGAGACTGAAACAGTCATAAACTGTTGCCTGAGTTTTGATCATGGGGATGCTTGCAACGGTTGTAAGTGAGCACCTGTCATAACTCATCTTTTTCAGCGCTGCCGTAACTTTGAATGGTCACCAAATGAAATATAAATTGAGGACTAGCTATAATCTACCCCCTTTTTCTCCTGCTTCATTCATTATTTGTGGCCATGGTTTTGCTTCTCAGGTCTCTGAACTCCGCCAGCAGCTCCGTAAGCGGGGCCTCCCTGTTTCTGGCACCAAGCCAGCCCTGCTGGAACGTCTCAAGCCTTACCAGGTGGCCCGGGTGAAGCCCCCACCTGCGCCACTCCCCAGCGCCCGCTTAGCGCCTTCTGAGTTAGAAGAAGAGCCCCAGGCCCTGCAGGAGAAGCAGCGGGCGGTGGAAAATCTGGCGTTAAAGCTCCACCGAGAGCTGAAGCACCACGACAGCGACCCGCGCGAGGAGCTGGAGGTGCACAAGCAGATCAAGAATCGCCGGAAGGGAGCACTGCAGTCACCTTGCCGTCAGGAGGCTCCGCCCCCTCCTTACATCCCCAAGAGAGAATGCACCAAGGAGGGAGGGGGCACAGAAGACAGGTTCATGGTAAGCAAGCCAGCTTTCCTTGAGTAGCCAGGAAAGGAACCAGATGATTGGACGATGCGGGTGGGTGGGGTTTGCTCATAAAAGGGATAGCAATCCAATGGATCAAAAAAAAAAATCTTGGAAAACAATTCTGATAGAATGAAGGGTTGTACGAGTCTATGAATATCAGTGAGAGTCTGCAGATCACTAGCCTGCTTCTAATGAGGGTCCACAGGAAGCTTCCTGAGATCCCAGAATCGGGGTATGACACGAATCCTCCCCAGCCCTGCACACAACATTGAAATTTGATGTAGTTATGTGGAGCAAAGATCATCAATTTATCAAATCCCTCAATTTATCAAATCCCCCAAACCAACCAGAAGTCGGATTGCAAGAGAGTCTCTTGCAGCAGACTCTCCAACGATTTTAAAATCCCTTCATTGATTTAGCCTGCTCACTTATTCATGCCAAGATACATCGAAGAGAGGGACCCAAAGGCACCAAAAAGTCCAGATTAATTGGTTTTTAAGGGTTATCCTTTCTTTTCATTAGGTAAGCTGCCCAAGTTCATTTGAGAGTCTGGCAGACCTTCTAGTGATGCACTAGCATTAGCACTTAGACTTATATGCCGCTTCACAGTGCTCCACAGCCCTCTCTAGGTGGTTTACAGAGTCAGCATGTTGCCCCCCAACAATCTGGGTCCTCATTTTACCCACTTCCGAAGGATGGAAGGCTGAGTCAACCTTGAGCCGGTCAGGATCGAACTCCTGGCAGTGGAATGCAGAGTTAGCCTGCAATACTGCATTCTAACCACTGCGTCACCACAGCTTCTACATTTAATATAATCAATAAGATGGCAGCCATGACCATGTAATTGAATCCTTGACCCTTTTTGATATAAGGGATCATGGACCATGGGCCATACACATACAGCCTTGGTCTTGACTTGTTTGATTCCCCCATGGTCCCCCTGCCATCTTCCCTCTAAGCTGAAAAAATGCTTTTTGCTTTCCTGTACGAAAGTCCTTTGACTGACTCATCTGTTTCACTCCAACTCCAGGAAATGCAACCCTTTGTAACACCTTTCCCTGGTTTGGTGCCCCCCTTCCCACTCCAAGTTATTTTGGATTTTGGCTGCTAGTTAGCACATTCCAGGAATTAAAGTGTTGATTGAACATTTCTGGGGGAACTCTTGTGTTTGCTATTGCATAAAAAACATAGGAAAATTAAATAACGTAAGCAGATGTAACACAAAATATGCTGTGTGTTTAAATCAGCAGACTAGGTGAATTTCAATTTCCAGGTGTTGCCATTTCTATCCTCTCAAATAAAACCATTTTCTCCAAGTAAATTTTACTTCCAAGTAGCTCCGTAAACTCCAAGTGGTCCTCAACTGAGGAAGTGTATTTCATTGTTTTACTTATACTAAATAAAATTAAATAAGCTCTCATCCCATTCAGCAACAATATTGACATGAGACACTATTCGTCATGGCTTTTGTCTACACTTAGGGGTCCTTTAGTGCCCATCTCTTAGTCCTAAATGCCCCCCCCCATCCAATGAAAGGAAACAGTGCCAGATCAATTAATCATAGAATGAACACTTGTGTACTCATATCAATAAAAGTATGTGCGAGAGGCACTTCCTGGTCCCCATATTGTGTGAGATGTCAACTGATGGACACGGAGACACTAGTCATGTCACTAGTGGGAGCAAAAGGTTAACTGCTTAGTTCTCTAAGGCTAGGAGGTTAATTACTTCGTTAGCAGGAAAGAGGTCAGGGCAATTAACCGGATAGGGTGGGAGCAGTTACATGGTTAGAGAGCAGAAAGGTTAGAAAAGGGGCAAGCAAAGTTGTTATCGAGGCATTGCAGCGCCATCAGGAAAAGCACAGAAGACCTGAAAACAAATTTACAGCTACCGTACATCAAATAAGCAGCCATAAGTTCTACCAACTACCAGTTTTACTCAACCTGGATAACTTTAAGGTGTGGACAATTTGGTAGAGAATGGCTGGGCCATCCTCTCCCTCATCTCCAGGTGTAGTTTGGCCTTTTCAGGAGTAAAATGCAGGAGCCTTTCCACTTCGCTTTGATAACCAGGGTATGTTACCCCATCCCTTATGGTTATATTTATGCCAGCAGTTAAAGTACCCCACACATGTATCTGCCCATAAATCCCCAAAGCACCCACTTTCAGTGGCACAGTGGCAGTGATGTCCTTAATTCCACCCTTGTAGCCAGCAGAAATAAGAAAACTCCAGGTTCCAGTTCCAGATATTCAGCATTGAGGCCCCAGAACCTCCTGGTTCAATGTTAAGATGACCTCCTTCAAGAGTGGTCTCCGCCTCTTTAAGGACTTAGGTCCCAAGAGGAGTCAGATCTGCTATTTGAGAGACCCATAGCCATCAATAACAGAGACTGGAAAATTTCTCTGGGTCACTATCCATTAAAGTGGATCCTGCTCCTGTATCTATTAGCCCAATGGCTCCCAACCTTTTCTTCACTACAAACCAGAGGTGGTATTCAGCATGTTCTGACCAGTTCTGGAGAACCGGTAGCGGGAATTTTGAGTAGTTCAGAGAACCGGAAAATCCCACGTCTGACTGGAGATTTTACAGTATCCTTCCCCTGCCACGCCCACCAAGCCACGCCCACAGAACCGGTAGTAAAAGGAAAAAAGAATCCCACCACTGCTACGAACCCCCTTTAAATACCTTTTGTGGCCATGGACTTCCAAGAATTAATTCAAGATTTCAGTCATCATATTTCTTCAAACCTTCCCGGACCCCATGTGATGACATTGCAGCCCCCCAGGGTCTGCAGACCACAGGCGGAGAACTGCTATATTAGTCTGTTCTTAGGGGACCGGTAAAGGGTGATGGTGATATGCAGTTGGTGGTTACCATGGTGGGACCCAAAATTATAGGATCTTCTCACTTCTAGGATGGGTTGCTTGTTGGTCTCCTCTTTGGGATGCCAGGGTGAATGAAGCCAATCCACATCTGCCTTCTTCCATTTGCTTTGTACCCCTTTGGACCTGTGCTTGGCTCGCTTACCTGTCATACGTCTTTTCACTCCTCCTCTGTCTGGTTTAGGTGGTTAAATATGATTCCCACATCTCAAATCTACTGCACCATTGTGGAATAGAAAAGCTAGAAAGAGTTAAAATACCAGCTTGTTTTCAGAGCTTCACAATGCGGAGAGGAAAAATGCAATTTCCTTGAGGAAAAGTGGCAAGGAGAGGTTAACTTCATCATTTAAAAGTTCACATGTTGGTGAGCCTTTCAGAATAATTTTCTGACATGACTCAACTCTCCAAAGAGACCCTGGCAGCTAACCTAAAATGAAAGCAATAAAAGGCAATAATTAATAACAACACAGATAAGGTAGAACATATTTCCTGGGCCATCAAATCCACCATGCTCCAGCTAGACCAGAGATATCTGACAGCCCAACCCAAACGCCCAAAGGAAAAACTGGCCAACAGGATCAGGGCTAATTGAATTTCAGGAGAGAGATCAATCCAAAGGGTGGGGGCTTCCAGAGATAAGACATACTTTCTAGGATCCACCAAATATTACTGTCACAAGGAAAATACCTAAAACTTACCCAGTCTAGAACAGCGCAAGAGGGGCCATCATAACCAGAGATAACATGGTCCCACAAATAGTCTGTTCCTTTGCCATGCAGGGCTTTGCAATCAGCACCTTGGATCGCATCTGGAAGCCCATTAGAAACTTGTGAAGCAATAAGGTTACATGAATGGAATGTGATACATCCATAACTACTACAAGCTGCTGCTTGTTAGAGCAATTGCAGGTCCTCGGGGCAATCCCAAGTAGAGTGAATTGCAGCAGTCCAACCAAGAGTTGACTAATACATGAGCGACATGAGCAGGACTTCTCAATGCAAACATGGGAATAAATGTAGCACAGATAGACTGCTACACCACAGGGATGCTGGTATAGTACCAACAATCCCAGGTGCTGATCCCAGGTGCCCAACTTCACAAAAAGGGTCTCATATCCAGCTATCTATAGGGCAGTGCCTCTGAAATCCTTGGTATTTACAGTGGTCATTCCTGTCCCTACCTGGAAGCCATGGCACAACTGAAACCCATTTCCATAAGGGAAACCGCCTTGCCTAGCCAGGTTTCTGTTACGCATGTGCGGTCAATTCTCTCATCCATTATTGACTCATGGATGAGATCAGCTTTATTACAGAAGGACTTAGTATGATAAAGTAATGATAGATGATGTCTAGGGCTTCCAAGGCTCCATGGTCAGATATGGGGAGAAAGCACAGGCAACTGGTGGAAAACAGTAAAACCATGCTACTTGGGAATGGCGTGTCTACTGCCATATCTACCTCGGTGTTCTCACCCACCCCTCATCCCTACAGCTTGCCAGCCTCCCTGATCCCTGTCATCTCTGTCTACAGCCCAAGGCCCCTCTCCATACCCAGGACTCCGGGACCTTCCTGCTTGGCCACTGACTCAATTCCAGGCCTTTCTGCCTAGCACTTATCGGAATCATTATGAAACCATTAGCTTGAGATCAGGGTTGTTGTCGTTTTTATGAGTCATATTAAGCCAGTGGAGCCTTTTGCCAGAAGAAATCAAGTAGAAATCTTAACATTCCTTCCTCTTTCTTACCAGGTTTTATGCCCCACCTCGTGTGAGCCAATCCATTCTGATATGGAGCTGCCACTTGAGATTACAGCCAGCCCTCCTGATCCAGCCCCAGCCACTCGGTCCCTGGAGGAAGAACTCCAAGAGGCCATTCAAAAGGCTCAGGTACTTACATTGGGGCATCTCTTTCAGTCTTTCTTGCAGACTATCTGATTTTGCTTTGCACACAAGCTGTCCTAGAGGAAATGGCTACTTTCGCTTGCCAAAGTTCTCCAGGCTCTTTAATTCCTTATTTTGGTTTAAATAACACCAACATGGAACAAAGGTATGGACAGCTCTGGAAGGATGAATTCTTCGGAAGTCCTTCAACTCTTTTCAGAGTTCTTCCATTTTCCAGAGAGAAACGGAACAGTCTTCTCCTGCTGAATGTCCTCTGCTGTGCTGATAGCATAAAGCTTGCATTGGCTTTTCCCAAAGAGGTTTCACTTTTCATCCAAGAAGCTTCTTCAGCTCTGAAGAACTGAACTGTCAGAGTTGAAGAAGCCTCTTGGATGAGAAGTGAAGCCTCTTCAAAGAAAAAAACCAGAAAGACCAGTTGCCTCTTGAAAAAGCCTTTTCGGGACAACCATGACCTGGATGACTGAGAATCTCCATAGACCTGTATTGGCTTGAACATTGGTTTGGAAGTTCAGCAATGATAGTTGTAGCAGATCAACCATCCGGCTTTGTTTCTGAGACAGACCCTCGGACACCCTCTTTTTTCTTCCCTTTCTATAGTTGGTGCCAAGCCAATCCATTGAAGAGATTTTAGAGGAACCACTGATGTGTACAGGTGAGATGATGGCTCTGTTTTGTTTTGCAGGCTGCAGTCGGGACTAGTTCATGGAGGAATTAATAAAAGGAAAAAACTGTCAGGAGCAAAGATGGAGCAATATAGGTTTTGAGAAAACAGGAATCGTAAGTTTGGGAAAGGGTGGGTTAAAGAGACAGTTGCTCCTCAGATGGCCTCAACCACATGATCCAGTGCAAAATTCCGGCGTGGAAACATAATGTGTAGTTTTGCTTTTTAGCTTACAGCTAGGAAGTTATGGGTGGGGTGGGGTGCTATTATGTCAAAGTGTACCCTCTGTTTTGCGGCTTCTAGGTGACATTCTTCAAGCACCTGCTTTGACCCCAGAGGTTCCTGATCAAGTTTCCTTGTCCCCATTGGTCCACCAAGAAGCATCACCATCAAAGAAATCCTGCTCCAGTAATGAGCCACCTTTGGTGCCCTCTGCTTTGTTTGATTTTCCAGGACCCTACGATTTCCTTTCGACAGCCTCCTCTTCCTCTGCATCACTGGATTCGCTGTCCTCTGTTTTCTCTCCTGACTCTCTTGAGATGCCGCCATCTCCCCCAGACGCCTGGCAAGGAAGCGGGACCCGTGCCGGATTTGACCCTGTTGATTGGCTAGAAGCTTTGACCTCTGGTTCAGCATCAGGTCTCGGCTCTGCCAGTCCGGTTGGTAGCAGCATCTTCTGTACAGACCTTTTTGATTCTTCTGACTTGGGGGTCAACCACATGATAGACCTAATGGTGGAGCAGTGGTAGTAAGGGCACCAACGGCAGTCTGGTCCCCAACCCTTGATGGAAAAGGGGAAGCATCTTCTTTTTACCCTAAAAGGTCATCATGGCGCTAGAATCCAGCTAGTTTGGGCAGTAATACTAACATCAAGCTTCATTGTACATGGTCTTTTTTCTGTTAATAACATGTCCAATTGCTCCCTTGGAGGAATGAAGCTATTGTTGTCTGAATGGTGTCACTCTATACTCATCCTGGATGGCCAAACATGCCAGAAATCCTGGCATCCATTTTGGACAGATAGAACCAATGTTTGGAAAATCAATCACCATTCTACCACTTCAAATTCATGACGTTATAGTTTAGGACATTATTATTTCACCTTACTGTGAAGTAAAACAAGTGTTGGTTTTCTGTAATGTCAACTTCTAACATCACAACATAATGAAACAAGTTTTAGAAACTAGTTTCAATGAAACAGTTGATACTCAAGGTTCTCAATAACTTTCTGTGTCACTTTAGGATTTAAAATATTGTGCACCAATGTTGTTGGTTGTATTTGCTACATTGAACCTTGATTATTTGCCTGATGCCAACTTTGGAAACTATTAATTCTCAAAATCATGACATCTCCAAGGGGCCATATGTTATAGGTTGAAGCATAATTTCTAGACCTATCTGGACAGTGATGTTGATTTAGATGCTATGTACCTGAGAATGACATGCACATATTCTAGCTTGGTTGAGCCTGCTATCTTATTTTGTTCAGTGCCAACTCTGAAAAAAATGTTGGGATTGTTCCATCTTGACGTCCCATGGTTATGGACAAGTTTTAATTTCCAGGGGCCACCAGAAGAGACTGCACCAGAAGCAGCAGCCTCCCTTTTCTTGAAAATATGGCATGGGATAGGAGAATATCTTCTCTTTTAGGGACAATATCTTATTTTTATAGCTGGTCATAAAAAGGTGCCATTTGAACAGGAGATGTCATCTTTGGTGGATTGTGCCTTTCTAACTCTTATTTTTTGTCATTTTTACTTGGTGTTATGAAACGAAACGATGCATACAGATTCATATTTACACAAGATCAAAATCATTCTTTGGGCTGGTGGTGGAACAGCACCCTAAGGGTGTTACGTAGGAAGATGTCTATTTTTTCAGGGAGATGGAGGGCATTGGTACCTTACGTCCCAGTAGCCCAAGGTTGCTGGGAAACTTAGGCCAATGTGTTAGTCCAAACATTAGCAGCTAACTGTGGCAATTGCTCATCATGCTGCGTGAAAATATAGGACACATCAAAACAAATGTTTGATCTGGTTGAATTATCTCTGCTATAATTTCTGTAAATTGCAGGTCTGGGAGGACATTCTTGAGTACACAGTCATAAAATGTACATGGAACCCACTAAATTACATTTCCCCAGCTTATTTGGCAGAAATCTTATAAAAGGTAGGCAAATGAAAAGTGACTAAAAACTTTTTTTGTAAAGGTATTTGCTTCGGGTATATTTGCACCTGCACTATATTCTTAAAAAGTTACAAGGTGTCCTCCAGACCTTGTTGAGACTACAACAACTCTCAGAATTGCCAGAATTGCATTCACTTGGCTACTTTGGTTGGAGATTATCAACTGTAATCTCAACTATCTGAGGGAGCACAAGAATTGGGAATGAAATCTGTAACAATTGTTATAGAGATTCTCGGTCATCCAGGTCATGGTTGTCCCAAAGGTGCTTTTCAAGAAGCAACTGGATTTTCTGGGTTTTCTTTGAAGATATTTTGTTTCTCATCTAAGAAGCTTCTGCAGTGGAGAAGAGCTGAAAAACCTTCTTGGATGAGAAGCAAAACGTCTTCAAAGAAAAACCAGAAAGTCCAGTTGCCTCTTGAAAAAGTACTTTTGGGACAACAGTTGTTATAGTTTCCTCTACCACAGTGTTTTTCAACTTCAGCAACCTTAAGGTCCAACTCCCAGAATTCCCCAGCCATATTTGAAGTCCACACATCTTAAAGATGCTGACCCTGATCAAGGTTATTCTAGAAGAGTATTTCCCAACCCTGGCCACTGGAAGATATATGGATCAACTCCAGAAATCTGGGAGTTGAAGTCCACACATCTTCAAGTGCCCAAGGTTGAGAAAACTGCTCTGATAGTCTTGACCATTTTTGTTGTCTTGCAGATTCAGCCCTGTGGGATTATATTTTTCAATTTGTGGCAGAAAGGAAGATGAATGCCTATTAAATTAGCACCTTGACATTGTGAATTATCTGTGTTTCTTCAGAGCCATTTTTTCAGCAAGAAATCAAAGAACAGTGCTTTATTTTTTAAGACATTAACTAGATGCTGTATAAGGCGTGAATGCAAAATTACCCAAATTAATCAGAGAAAGAAAGCAGCCCCGGGGGGAGGAAGCTAACAAGCTGGCAAGAAAATCCGTGTTGCCTATGTTTGCGGCATGTTTGTCATTTGGAAAGAATAATCCAGGGAGAAGCGAAGCCCATTTCCAAAAGACAAAATTGCTGCATCAGGATTTCCAGCCGTTCCCACCAATCCTTAGACTCCTTCAGCGTAGCTATCAATTCAGTGATAACGTCCTTTATTTCATCCGCTGCTTATACTCCATTGGGTTCTCCAGCGGGGTTGTGCAGAAGCAAAATGATTTATTCATGTCGTTTGATAGTGACGGGGCAAAGCAGCCTCTCTTTTGAACATGCCAGATGGGTTGGGACTGCAACTGCCAACTTTGGGCAGAGTGGCTGGCAATTCTGAAAGCTGCAGATCCAGCACATCTGGAAGACACCAGGATGGAGAAGCACGGGACAAGCAGAGGCTGCCTCCCAGCTCATAGCTGTTTGCCCAGCCAGCTGCTTGTGACTTTTCTCCTCTTTTCAGTTCTTGATGAGACTCCAGTTTAGGTCAGTTTGTGGCTGGGGAAGTGGGGTAGAACTCAGCAGGCAGAGGTTGGGTGACTTGAAAAGGTGCCAGACCAGTTCAGCTTTCCTGCTGGGAAATGAATTCGAAAAGCAGGTGGTCTTTTGTGCTAACAGTACTATGCAGAGAGAATTCAACTCCTGTTTACTAGTTACTTTCTGAATAAACACCATTTCTTGCTTCTGGAGTGATGTGTGGATATTTGCTGGGGTTTTTGTTCTTTGTTTTCACTGTGCGGTGAAGCTTTCTTACTACATATTTCACACAAAAAAAGTAAGTCAAGAAACTGGCAAAACAGGGGAAGCCCAGGAGGCTGGTGGTCAGGAGGAGAAATTAATGTTGGAGCAAGACCGTAAAATCATCCCAAATTGTTGGACCAGTGGAATCGTCTTTCAACCATTCATTTAATGACTGTTCAAAATTACAAGGGCGTTGAAAAAGTATAATAGGTTTTCATACTTATGACTCTCATAGCCCTGAAAGAGCCCTGGTGGTTAAAGTGCAAAATTACAGGCAAACTCTACCCACAGCCTGGAGTTTGATCCTGATTGGCTCAAGGCTGACTGAGCTTTCCATCTTTCTGAGGCTGATAAAATGAGGAGCCAGATTATGGGGGCAATATGCAAATAACGCTTATTTTGTAAACTACCCAGAGAGTGCTGTGAAGCACCAGGGGGCGGTATATAAGCCTAAATGCGATTGCTATGCCATCTCCATAGTCACATGATCAAAATTTGGGCAGTTGGCAACCAGCATGTATGTACAATAGTTGCATTATTCCATGGTTATGTGATCCCACCATTTGCAACCTTCCAAGATTGGTTTCCAACAAGCAAATTCAATGGGAGAAGCTGGGTTCATTTAATGACCATGTGATTCACTGCAATCAAGCGTTGGCAAAAAAGGTCGTAAAATTGGGAACAACTCACTCACAGCCACCTTGCTTAGCAACAAAAATTCTGCTTCCAATTGTCATAAATCAAGGACTACCCGTATCAAAGATGTGTGTATGTGTAGAGGAGAAGCTGAGTTTCTAGCTCACTTTGTACCCTGGGAAACGCAGCAAGCCTGATTGCAAATACAGGTAGTCCTCGACTTGCAACAGTTCATTTAGTGACCATTCAAAGTTACAACAGCACTGAAAAAAGACTTATGGCCATTTTTCACACTTATAACCATTACAGCATCCCCATAGTCAAATGACTAAAATTCAGGTGCTTGGTAACTGACTCCTATTTATGATGGTTGCATTGTCCCAGAGTTGTAACCATCTTTTGCGACCTTCTGACAAGCAAAATCAATGGAGAAAGCCAGTTTCACTTAACACCGATGTTACTAATTTACCAACTGCAGTGATTCATTTAACAGCTGTGGCAAGAAAAGTCATAAAATGGGGCAAAACTCACTTTACAAATGTTTTACTTAGCAACAGAAATTTTGGACTCAATTGTGGTCATTAAGTTGAGGATTACCTCTAGGTTGGTTTTATTTTTCTGTGTAAAACGGGTTTCTGCAGAATGTGGTAAAAAAAACTCAAGATGGTGGCTGCAGAGGAGAAATTAAACTCTACCAATTTTTTAATATGTTTTGTGGACCTTACTCCAAGGAAGGATCGATTGGGGAAGGATCCATCTGGAGCAGCCTGCCTGCTGAGTCCATTCCCCCCTTGTTTGCTCTACTCTGGAAAATTATCTTTTCATTTTTATCTTTTTAAGACGTGCCAAATTGTCCTACCAACTGTGCTTTCTCTCTCTCTCTCTCTGTAGCCTGTGTGTGGAAACCATTTCAAAAGATCATTTAAACAGACTCCAAGACATTTTGGGTTTTTTCATTTTAATAGGAATGTGTAGATCCATATAAATCAAGGCCACTTTACTATCTATGAGAGTAGGACAAGATAGGCATTTTTAAATGATTTTTAAAAAACTGTTTTAAAAAATCAATAACTCTGCAACTGTATTTGTTCATTGCTCTATTAGCTTTGGGAATCCACTTGGAGTGGTGCAAAAGTCAGAAAAGTGAGGAAAGCATCCATCCTCATGCAATCAAAGCCCAACACCTTATTTCACTGCTTCTTAACCTTAGCAGTTCCATGGACTTTGTGGACTTCAACTCCCAGAATTCCTGAGCCAGCTGACTGGAGAATTATGGGAGTTGAAGTCCAAACATCTTAAAGTTGGCAAGATTGAGCAACACTCAATTTATATGTGATATATATATAAAGTGAGGTAGAGTTTTAATTACACAATTGTACTTTCTTGACATACACATACATCTAATGGATGCATCTAACCAACAGGGAGAAAAAAACAACCTCAGTGGGGGAGAAACCTTGAGAAATTTTTATTCTGTACGGATATTTAAAACATAATTTTCCCAGTAAATGCTCACTTCTTATCTTTCTTTAACTGATTAAACCAATGTTTTCAAACCTGGTAAATTTAAGATGTGTAGACTTCAAATCCCAGAATTCCCCAGCCAGCATGTTGGTTGGGGAATTCTGGGACTTGAAGTCCATACAACTTAAAGTTGTTAGGTTTGAAAATCCCTGCTTTGAACCATTTTTGCATTTGTGGAAATGTTTAGAAAAGGACCAGGATTAGGGACAGGCCATCCTGAAGGAGATTTATTTATAAGGTCACTAAGAATTGACTTGAATTTGGTGACATGTAAATCACCAACCAATCAGAATCACATTCCCCCCCCCAAAACTTTATTTTTACAAATACATGAGAAAATCTAACTGTGATCAGTCCTGGAACAGAAGAATAGAACTAATAACATCCTAATCTTTAGTATAAAGTAAATCCACTATATTTATGAAATCCAGGTAAATAAATCAAAATAGGAGTATAAAAATCAAGATAAGGAGGGTGCGGTCTACAAGTAATTTCAAAGGGCAAGGGACATTACACAATTCCCACTAACTCTCTGATTCACTTTCACTCTCACTGTCACTCTCACTGTCACTCTCATCATCATCATCATCATCTTCCTCCTCCTCTTCTTTCTTAGCCATATGACGATAATAACATAAGCTGTAAGGAAAAAAGAAGATAAGACTGAAGCAGAATGGAGAAGCAGATTTCAAAGTTTCTAGCTCTGATGAATTCCACCAGCAATCTCTTTTTTGCTGATGAGGCCCTTACACACACCAGCTTTGGAGAATGCAAGCAAAAAACCTAGGATATACCTTTAATTCATCTGCAATACTAGCTGTGCCTGCTGTGCCAGGTTATTACTTTGCCCAAATTATTTTGTGCATTTTTCAATAATGGGATGCGGGTAGGGGGGACTCAGCCTCCTGCCTAAACCAGATTGCATGTCCTGGGTATAAGCACAAAATGTTTGCTACCTTCGAAAAAATTTTACAGGTAGTTCTCAACTTATGACTATAATCAGAACCAAAATTTTGGTCATAAGTCATTGTTGTAAGTCGAAGCAACCACAGGTCCAGACCTGGTTTGTTTTTATGGTGGTCGCTAATCAAATCATGTGGTCATTAGTCTGAGTCACACATCTGAAGCAAATCCATTCTCTCAGTTGTGTGCTTTTTGCTAGAAAAATGCCACAAATCACAGTCACGTGACTATGGATGTGGCAACCAGATATAAATTCAAACTGTTGCTAAGTGTCAGAATAATGACCAGCAGGGCTTTATGAGCCATAAAGAACCCTTTTCAAAGCTGTCATAATGTCAAACCATTGTTAAACGACTAAATTGAGGACTATGTGTTTCCTATTAAAGTCTGTCTGCCATTACTGATTTTTCACCATGGTCTCACCAGAAAGAAGCACCTTCTCCCTTGTTTCTCCTATCCTCGGACTGATGTCCTCAAGGTATGTTAAACATACCACCCTGGGAATATGAGATATATCTGAAGGGCACCGCTTTGAAGAAATTGGACTCACAGTTTCAACTATAACGACATTTTTTTAAAGGATGACAATAGATACATAGGTGTGACTCTGTGATTACCTTCACAACTTTCAATTCGGAAAACTGAACTGCAACTTCCTTAATTTGCGGAGGGCCATCAGTGTAGGCTCAGAATGAATATGGCCTGTCCTATCCAGAAACCCAATTCTGCTTTGAAACTACCATAGAGTGTTTTAAAAATAACAAATAACTAAATCAGTTTTGTTTAGGGCATACTGTTTATTTTCAGAGTTCTATGGACATTTCAGTGAGCCAGGTGGGTGTAGTGCTTAAGGCATCCCATCTAGAAACAAAAGGTCCATGCATTGTAGTCCCATTTTAGCCACAATGCCAGCTGGGTGTCCTTGGGCCAGCCACCTTCTCTCAGCCCTAAGAAGGAGGCAATGGCAAACCAAACAAAGATGATAAGGGGTCTGAAGGGTAAACCACGTGATGAGCAATTGAGGGAATTTGGTATGTCTAGCCTAACGAAGAAAAGGACTAGATGTGATTATGACACCAGTCTTCCAATTTTTGAAAGGTTGTCACAGAAAAGGGGGCATTGACCCCCAAAACATCTGAAAGCAGGACAAGAAGTAATGAGTGGAAAATTATCAGAGAGAGATTCTACCAAAGGCTAGGGAAAAAATTTTTCCTATCAGTCGGAACAATTAATCAGTACTTACCCCTGGAAGTTGTGGTTTTCAAGAAGAGACTGGACAGCTATTTGGAATGGTATCAGGTCTCCTGCTTGGACTAGAAAACCTTCAAGGTCCCTCCAACTCTATTATTCTATGTTCTATGTCCGTGATGGCGAACCTATGGCATGCGTGCCAGAAGCGCCACACAGAGCCATTTCTCCGGGCACACCAGCCATCGCCCGTGGCTCTTCTGGGTTCTGGCGTGCGCATGCGCACCGGCCAGCTGGTCTTTGTGCACCGGAATCTGGAAGAGCAGGTGGCCGGGCATGCCTGCCTGCTGGGGAGCTGCTCTTCCAATTTCCGGCACTCCCATGTGCGCTCACCAGGGAACTGCTCTTCCAGTTTCCGGCGTTCCCTGTGCACACATGTGTGCTCCTATTTTGGCAGTTGGTGCCAAAAAGGTTCACCAACTCTGTTCTATCTTCTAACCACTTTTGAAAAACCTGCCAAGAAAACTGCAGGGACTTTTCCAGGCAATCTCTAAGAATCACACTCAATTGAATCAAGAAAAAAAGGACACAGTTTGGCATCTCCTGCTCAGCCTTCTCCCAACA